TATTCCTTGGAATGCCCAGAATAATACTTAACTGAATTGTGTAATAATTTGTGTAAAATTCTTCAGTAGAAATATGTGTCTACATAGAACAGCTATGCCTGCATTCTTCCCCTACTCCACCCCTTGTTCTTCCAGGAGACTATGGCCTTGGGGAGGGATGAATGTGAATATGGTCATGTGCCAAGAGGGTAACTGAGACTTTTACTTTCTTCTTTTCTGTGTATGCTGTCATGTGTCACTTAATGACAGACGTATTCTGAGAAATGTCATGAAGTAATTTTGTTGCACAAATATCACAGAGTTACACTTTACACAAACCTAGATGGCCTAGTCTTACTATGCACGTAGGCTACATGGGATAGCCCATTACCCTGAGGGTATAAACCTGTGCAGCAGGTTATTGCACTAAAACTGTAGGGAATTGCAAAACAATGGCAATGGTATCTTTATCTCTAAACATATCAAAACATAGAAAAGGCAGAGTAAAAATATGGCATAACAGATTTTTTTAAAAATTAAAAAATTGTGTGTAGGGAACCTACCATGAATTGAGTGTAGAAGATGAGGAATTATTCTGGATGAATCAGTGAGTGACGGGGGAGTGAACGTGAAGGCTAGGACACTGCTGCCCACAACCATAGACTTTACAAACACTGCACACCGAGGCTACACTGCATTTATAGAAGTACTTTTATTCAATAATGATTACCCTTAGCTTACTATAAATTTTTACCTTATAAACTTTAAAAAAAATTTTAAACTAACTCTTTTGTAATAGCTTCCAATGAAAATGCATTATGCAACTGTACTTAATATTTTTCTTTATATCCGTATTAAATAAGCTTTTTTTCTATTTCTATTTTTTTAACTTTTACACTTCTTTGTTAAAAACTAAGACACAAGCACACACTTAGGCCTAGGCCTCTGCAGGGTGTCAGGATGATCACTGTCATTTTCTTCCATGTCTATGTCACTGGCAGGGTCTCCGGGGGTAGAAACATGCATGGAGCCATCATTTCCTAAGGTAACAGCTTCTTCTGGAACTCTCCTGAAGGATCTTCCCAAAGCTGTTTTATCATTAT